AGCAGATAAGGTTCCTCTTACTAGTCTCATTTACCTTAATCAACATAATTTATACGAATTTGAATTTATCATAAGTTACAAGAATATCAGATAGAGCATGCTTTTGGGTCCTAGACTACCCGGACTTAACATAATAGTAGCTACACACGGACTTTTGTCACCTAGTTCGTACGTAGCCCCCGCATATAATGGCAATAAATTCAAGTATTACACCTATGGGGACAATTCCATCTTATAAGGTTAGAAAGGAGACTCACTTCTCTCCAAAGTGCACTTCCAATACCAAGAACGAGCCCAAGCCCTCAATTCGGAGCCGAACAATCCCAAACTAGTTAAATGAGGTAGGAACTAGTCAATATAAACTCACAAAATCAAATTCTAGCTATTTAAGCACTTTCCCAACCTTTAACACAGGTTTCCTAGAATCCGACTCCGGGCCCACGTGTCCGGATTCTGAAATTTTTCGAAAGAAGTTGTTCTCTATAACCTAAGGATCAATAATATATGATTTCTAATTTATTTCAAAACCAATTTCGTGATAAAATCTAAGTTTTATTAAAACCCTAGGTCTAGCTCTAACCCCTTGATTTCTCCAAATCTTTATGTGTTAATCTACTCAAAACTCGAGTGTTAAACTTAGAATTAAAGGGGACTAACTTACCTCATGATGCTATATGGAAATCCCTTCTCAAGTTCTCTAAAATCGCTCAATACCCGAGTGCCAAATGGTCAAAAATGGTTGGAGATCGACTTAAATGAAGCTCACTACTTCAGCAGTTTCCGCATTTGCGGTCTTAAAGCCGCATCTGCGAAGCTGCTTCTGCGACTAAGGAGTCGCTTCTGTGGTTTGGCCTAGCCAGCTCTGGGCCTGTATCTGCGAGGCTATGACCGCTTCTGCGGTCTCGCACCTGTGGTCAACCAACCGCAGGTGCGGTTATGACATAAGCAGATGCTTCAGCACTTCTCCAAATTCTCAACTTCACTCGAGCCTCGTCCGTTTGACACTCGGAGCTCCCGGGCCCCGCCCGAACATACCAACGAGTCTAAAATCATGAGACAGACCTACTTGAACCTTCGGAATGCCTGAAACAATGCTAAATCTAAGATTCACCCCCTAAAACCAAATAAATCTAACTTCTGAACTTCAAGTTCTTAATTTTCCTCTAACGAGCCGAAATGCCCTAAAACTACTCGGATTGATACCAAATTTTGCAAGCAAGTCTTAAATGATATATCAGACCTGTACCGGGCTCCAGAACCAACATACAATCCTGATACCCATGGAATCAATCATTAATTAGTTTTTTTAAATCTTTAAAACTTCAGATTAACAATTTCTGATAAAAATTCATTACTCGGGCTAGGGACCTCGAAATTCGGTTCTGGGCATACGCCCAGATCCCATATTTTCCTACGGACCCTCTAGGACCATCAAATCATGAATCCAGGTCCGTTTGCTCAAAATGATGACCAAAGTCAAAATTAGCCTTTTAAGAAAATCCTAAGGAATCAAATGAGCATATTTCACTCCAAACTCTTCCAAATCCCGAACCCACCATCCCCGCAAGTCGTAAATTAGTTAAAGCAAGCGCGAAAAGTTTTATTTAAGGGAACAGAATTCTAAAAGGCAAAACGACCAGTCGAGTCGTTACATTTTGTGTATGAATTAAACTTTTAGGATATAAATTGAGCCTTTAGGATATGAATTGGACTTTTAGGATATGAATTGGACTTTTAGTTTATGTATTGAAATTTTAGTTTATTAATTAAAATTTTAGAATATGAATTGAATTTTTGTGGATATGAATTAAAATTTTAGGATATGAATTGAACCTTTAGGATATGAATTGAAATTTTTGTGTATGAATTGAAGTTTTAGGATATGAATTGGACTTTTAGGATATGAATTGGACTTTTAGTTTATGTATTGCAATTTTAGTTTATAAATTGAAATTTGAGGATATGAATTGAACTTTTGTGGATATGAATTGAAATTTTAGGATATGAATTGAACTTTTAGGATATGAATTGAAATTTTTGTGTATGAATTGAACTTTTAGGATATGAATTGAGCTTTTAAGATATGAATTGGACTTTTAGGATTTGAATTGGACTTTTAGTTTATGTATTAGAATTTTAGTTTATAAATTAAAATTTTAGGATATGAATTGAACTTTTAGGATATGAGTCGAACCTTTAGGATATGGACTTAATTAACTAAAAAAAGATTAGGATATGAATTAACTAAATTAATTTGTTCTTGTTTTATTTGTATAGAACATCGTACTTGAATTTTGTAGAAGGGGTTGATGACTTTATTAGACATGCAATGGAACTTCCACCAAGAATAACTAGGATGCAGTACCTGGCAAAGTGGGTCTGTAATTGTTGTTCTCATTAGCGACAATGATGATGAGAAGGCAATGGCATGTGTTTCACATAGTAATGGTGTAGGTAGGAATTTAACATTTCCTAAGCAGATAAAAGAAGTGGTTATAGAGGAATTCTCTACTTCATTTTCCAAGAGGAAAAGAAGTTTAATTGAGAGTGACAAGGTTGATGGTAATGGAAAGTTTTCTGTTGCTCATGACAGTTCCCATAAAACGGGTATCATAAGACACTGTGATGAGAAAGACGAAAGGAAGTTTTATTCTCAACTTTCTTCCAAGTCTGATCCGTACAAGCTTAATGGGATTGGAGATATTTCTTCGAATTTAGACAATGATTTGAGTGACAAAAGTATGGAAATGCTAATCAAAGGAATTAAAGGTAAAACGCTTCTCTAAGGAAGAGAAGTTTGGAGAAATCTACCGCCTATAAAGTGCACATATCACGTTCATGCAGAGTTCTGCATCCTTCTCTTCTAAGAAAACGTTTTACCTTTAATTCTTTTGATTAGCATTTCCATACTTTTGTCACTCAAATCATTGTCTAAATCTGAAGAAATATCACCAATCCCATTAAGCTTATACGGATTAGACTTGGAAGAACGTTGAGAATAAAACTTCCTTTCGTCTTTGTCATCACAGAGTCTTATGATCCCCGTTTTATGGGAACTTCCATGAGCAACGGAAAACTTTCAATTACCATCAACCTTGTCACTCTCAATTAAACTTCTTTTCCTCTTGAAAAATGAAGTAGAGAATTCCTCTATAACCTCTTCTTTTATCTGCTTAGGAAATGTTAAATTCCTACCTACACCATCACTGTTTGAAACACGTCATTGCCTTCTCATCATCATTGTCGCTAATGAGAACAACAATTGATCAAAGACACACCCTGCCAGGTACTGTATCCACGTTATTCTCTGTATCCAAGTCCATCCCGAGTAATATTACTACGAGGATAATCACCAAAGCCACCAGACAGCTTTATGATGCCAATGAAGCAAGATGAGATATTCAATGAGACTCGTATTGTAAAGAAGAAGAAAGAGACTTATCCATAAAGGTGGGTCTAGGGCCAAGCCTCGACTGTACATGTAAGTTTTTTTACTTTTCATTAAGTATTTTGATTTACTTTTATATAAATTTTGAAATACTAATTCAATGTAATTTTTCTTATAGGGTCACTTCACATCTGACGTGGAGGAATTCATATGCAGTCAGCTACCTAATGAGTCGGGCGAGGCAATCCAACTTTCGGACAAGGATGCTGAAATAACACTCCTTGAGTACTTTATATACTTTGAACTAGACAATAGAACTGGTTTTCGAATGGGCTTGTAATAAGCGTTAACTTAGTCTTGTCAGCTTAATGTGTTAGTTCTATTGAACTTTATACTTTGTTGGTTTTAATGTTGTTGTTAATGTTGTTGTTGTGTTATTGTTGTGTTGTTGTTGTTGTTGTTGTTGTTGTTGTTGGTTTTGTTGTTGATTGTTGTTGTTGTTGCTTGTAATAGGGAAGTTGGTATGCTGGCAGGTGGTGTAGCTGCCAAAACAGGCAGTTTCTGCCAAAATTATACCCAGAAAATCGACCAACTTAAAAAATATTTCCTGTGCAATAGCGACCAAGGTTGGTCGCTAATTAACCCAGATTTCCTAAAAAGCGACCAATTTTGATTGCTATTCTATTAAAAAAAATCCTGGAAAATAGCGACCAATTTTGGTTGCTTCTGTTTAAAAATAAATAAATTAATTAAAAAAAAACGACCAACTTTGGTCGCTATTTTCCAGATTTTAAAATATAATATTTGGTTTACACACCAAAGTTGGTCGCTATACTTTGATTAATAATAAATAAATAAATAACGTAATTTAAATATAGAGACCAACTTTGGTCGCTAAATTTATATTATTAAAATATTAAAGCGACCAAAGTTGGTCGGTATATTGTTTACCCAGAATATTTGGTCCTTTTACCTTAGAGACCAAAGTTGGTCGCTAATTAGCGGCCAACTTTGGTTTCTAAGGTAAAAGGACCAGCAAAATAGCGACCAAGTCAGTTTGGACCCTTTTTTGTCGCTTTGTAACCTGTAAGCGACTTACTTTGGTCGCTTTTTGTGGTCACTTTTTTCTGTATTTCTAGTAGTGGTAGTGTATGTCTTATATTTAAGAAAAAACCGACAAATAACCGAAAAAACCGAAAAACCGACATAAACTGAATCAAGAAAAAACCGACTTAATTGATTTGGTTTGGTTCTAATATTTGAAAAACTGATTGGTTTCTTTATAGGAAAAAATCAATCCAAACCGAACCATGAACATCCCTAATGCATATACTTTGTAATGGACAGATCACTAAAAGATAGTGACAAAGTTAATTATTTTGGTACTGTTTTTAGCGCAATTTGGAGGTACTTGGTAACTTTGGGCGCTCTCACATAGCACTAACTCCATTTGAGGCCCACATTGAGTATCTTTGAGGATGATTTTAGCATTTTGGTTCAATAAAAACGTGTAAAACATTTGATGTAGACTTACCAGAACAACAGTAAATAATTGATTCTATCGCCCAACTATCACTAAGACTCCACTATTTAGAGTAGAAAGTTTTATTCAGTATAGACCAATTAATAAGAGAAAATAAAGAAAATGAAGAAAGACAGTATCCACGTTGTAATGGTGCCATGGTTAGCATTTGGTCATCTACAGCCATTTTTCCAACTCTCCATAGCCTTATCCAAAGAAAAAGTTCATGTCTCTTTCCTTTCCACTCCCAGAAACATTAAGAGACTCCCTAAACTTCCTCCTAACTTAGAACCACTAGTAAATCTAGTTGAATTTCCACTGCCATCACTTGATGATAAGAGTCTTTTGCCCAAAGATGCTGAGGCAACTTTGGACATTCCTGCTGATAAAGTTCAGTACTTAACAGTAGCTTACGATCTCCTTCAGCAGCCCATCAAACACTTCATTACACGTGAAAAACCGGATTGGATCATTGTGGATTTTAGCCCTTACTGGATAGCTGAGATTGCTCGAGATCTTGATATTCCCATGCTTCAATTTAGTATGTTTACTGCTGCTACCCTACTCTTCTTCGGGCAGCTTGATCACGAGGGTCAAGAAGAACCAAAGCCGTTGCATGAACTTCTCCTATCACCACCACCATGTGGTGATTTCAAATCAACGGTTGCTTATAAGAAATACGAAGTGGCGGAACTATTTGCTGCGATTGCTGCAGAGAATGCTTCGGGCAAATCATCTATGGAACGTGAAGCCATAATGGGAAAGGCCAGTAGAGCTATGGCTCTACGTACATGTGCTGAATTCGAAAACGAATACTTGGTCAGTCCTAGAAACTATAAAAAGCCGCTGATTCCTATTGGGTTGCTACTACCGGGAGAATTACCGGTGGGTGAAAACGATCTTGCTCTTCCACAATGGCAGAAGATGTCCAAATGGCTAGACGAACAAAAGCCAAGATCGGTTGTGTTTGTGGGATTTGGCAGTGAATGTAGATTTACCAAGAATCAAGTATATGAAATAGCAAATGGGCTACAACTCTCAGAATTGCCATTTTTCTGGATACTACAGAAGCCAAGTTGGGCTTTGAACGACGTTGATGCTTTGCCATCAGGTTTTGGCGCCGCAACAGAGGGGAGAGGGTTCGTGCACATTGGCTGGGCACCACAGAAGGAAATTCTTGCACATCCGTCCATAGGAGGATCCCTATTTCATGCAGGATGGGGATCAGCTATTGAAACTTTAAGGTATGGTCATGTTCTTGTGGTGTTGCCTTTTGTTTTTGACCAAGGATTGAATGCAAGATTGCTAGTAGAAAAAGGTGTGGCGATTGAAGTGAAGAGGAACGAAGAAGATGGATCGTTTAGTGGAAAAGACATAGCAATGTCATTAAGAGAAGCGATGGTTTTAGAGGAAGGGGAAGAGCTTAGAGCTCGAGCAAGAAAAGCTGCTGCTATTTTTGGAGACCGAAAACTTCAAGACTCCTACGTCAGAAACTTTGTTGAGTACTTGAAAAGTAATGGTAATTTAAGATGAATGTCTAGTCATTAATCAGCAAATTAGAAATGATATGTCTGCTCAATCTAATATTGAAAAAATTTCCTGCTTTGTAGTTTGTACGGTTGAAATAATTCTGTAGCACTAGATTGCCTTGTTTGGGATATGAGTGACTTCAGTTTTACATGAGTGATATATTAATTTCTTTTGTACTCATTGTTGAAGTCTTAGTTGTTGAATGACTTCAGTTTTACATGCGACAGCCGTCCATTTACCACAAGAAAACCCACATTTTTTTCAGCTTAAAAAGCCATCATCAAGCCCATGATTCAACAGCTGAATTCCAAATTAGCAACTAAAAAATTCAGGATAGTTATAGCCCGTTTGGCCAAGTTGTAAAAATCAGCTTATTTTGAGAAGTTCTTTTTTTGTTAAGTGTTTTTCTCAAAAGTACTTTTGGTGAGAAGCAGTTTGTGTTTGGCTAATTAGTTTGAAAAGCACTTCTGAGCAGCAATTAGTGTTTGGCCAAGCTTTAAAAAACTGGTTCTAAGTGTATTTTTCTCAAAAGTGCTTTTGGAGAGAAGCTACTTTTTTCTGCTTCTCCAAAACTGCTTCTGCTTCTCCTCAAAAGCACTTTTTTTTCTTCCAAAAGCTTGGTCAAACACCTTAATTTTTGGACAAAAGTGTTTTTGGCAAAAAAAAAAAAAATCACTTTTGGCCAAAAAGAAACTTGGTCAATCAGGATATTAGTCTTGAAGTTTGGCTGAATTAGTTAATCTTTAAATACATTATAAAATATAGTTATATTTTAAACAACTACTTACAATTGGCCATCGGTGCGATTTGCCCGTGAGCATCAAGAAGTGTTCGAACCCAAAATATAAAACCTGTAGAATCAAAAAGATAATTATGAGAGAAAAATATAAGAATTTTTTAAAAATGTTTGCAAATTTATTATATACAGCATTACTCAGAAAGCTTAGCTTGCTTGTTTTTTTTTCTCTGTTGAAACAAACCCTACAAAGCAAATATTTTCAATTTGAAAAATATAATACCAATCAAGTCAAACAAAAGTAAAAAAAAAAAAAACTTTTTATCAACTTAGTCTAATGCGATTTTTTGATTTTATGTGAACCCAAACAAAAGATAACTTATGCACCACGTTCCCAAAAAAGGAAGAGTACTATTCCCTCCGTTTCAATTTAGATGAGGTAATTTGACTCGGCATAGAGTTTAAGAAGAAAAAAAAGACTTTTGAAACTTGTGATCTTAAAAGCTTAAGAGGTAAAAGCTTTGTGGGGCCATGATATTTGTGTGACTATAAAAGCTTCTCATTAAGAGTAAATGAGTAAAATGAAGAATTTAAAGTTGAATTATTTCCAATTGTAGAAATGTATCATTCTTTTTGGATCCTTTGGTATTCGCTGGAAACTGTAAAACCTTGTAAAACAAACTTTCACTCTAAGAATTTGTATATAAAATTTCACGTTTATGTGAATTTTGACGTACACATTTGTTTATTTTACATCTAATTGATCATGTAATTGTGTTATATTCCCGGTTACATTAATTGTTAGAGTTATGCAACAAAACTTAATTATAATATACAATATAGCGTAAATCAAGATTTCTTATGTATAAATTAAATCATAAGTAGTAAATTTTTCAGTAAGTTCTAGCAATATATTTGATTGTCATTCTGTCAAAATCCCAAATTCCCACTTTAGGATACCATGATGGCACTTAGTCCCTAATACTAGGTAAGCCTAATACATGCTGAGTTATTAACAGATTTAAGTCATTTAACCATTAAACAGGAATCAGTAATTGTCATACAAAGCCAATAACCATCAAGAGATTTACAATATCCCAAAACGGGTTGTACAAAGTTATAAGCCTTTCTAAGAGTAATTAATAATATCAAATACATCACTGTTTGGAATAGAAGTAAACAGTAACAATGTAAAGCTTTAGAAGATGACTTCGAGGCCTGCAAGCGTAGTGGCATGTATACCTTGAAGTCTCTATAGCAAATCTCCAAGAGCTAGCTAACGTCCGACACACTCAGAGGTACGTAGATCTGCACAAAAATATCTTGAAGCGTAGCATCAGTACACTACAGCGATACCCAGAAGTATCAAGACTAACCTCGGGGGAGTAGTAATGAAGTACAATCAAGACACCTACTAGATATAATAACTTATGCAAGTATTAATATAAATTAGCAGAGGAACGAAAAAATCAATATAAAGCTAAACATGGAAAGAATAACAACATAATTATAGCGACCCGACCGGTCGTTTTGAGCATTTGAACTTCGTTCGGTAGTTTGAGGGCATGAGCAGCTTCGTATGATGTATTATGACTTATGTGAATCGCCGGTTTTGGTTTTCAAGTTATTCAGAATCGATTTGGAAGAATGAACATCATGATCGAAGCTTTAAGTTGGAAGAACTGACCAAATTTGACTTTTAGTATTTGACCTCGGATTGAAGTTTTGATAGTTCTGTTAGGTCTGGATGGTGATTTGCATTTGGATATTTCTAGAAGATTTCGGCACAAATTGGCGAAAGTTGAAAATTTGAAGGTTTGAAAAGTTCATAAGTTTGACCGAGAGTTCACTTTGATGATATCGGGTTCGAATTGTGGTTCCGAAAATTTGGATAGCTTCGTCATGTCATTTGAAACTTGTGTGCAAAATTTGAGGTCATTCCGGATTGATTTGATATGTTTCAGTGTTAGTTTTGAAAGTTCAAAGTTCAAAGTTTATTCAAGTTCGAATTGAGGTGCGATTCGTCATTTTAATGTTGTTATGTGTGAAGTGAGGCTTCGAGTTGGTCCGTGTTATTTTAAGGAACTTGTTGGTATATTTGGACGGGGTCCCGAGTGGATCGGGTGAGTTGCGGACGTGTTTTAGATCATTTTCCTTCATTTTGGCTTTGCTGGTGTGCTCTAGATTCTGGTGCATGGATTGTTCTTCACGATCGCGAATTAGTGGATGTGATTGTGTAGGTGAAGATCTGGAGTTGAGTAGTTCCTTCTTCGCGTTCGGGAGTAGATTTACGCGATCGCGTAGTTTTCTGGAGATTGGGCATCGCGTTCGCATGTTTCAGATCGCGTTCGCTTAGTGATGAGTTAAGAAGCTGGGGCTAGAGAATTTCTTCAATGCGTTCGCGTAGTACTGGATGCACTCACAAAGGTGTGAGGCAGTGTTGTTCGCGTTCGCTTGAGTAATAACGCGATCGCATAGTGCTTTTGTTGGAGGCAGTGTTGCCTGTTCTTCACGATCGCCTATCCTTGTCCGCGATCGCATATTGTATTTCTGAGGTAGTGCTTATTCTTCTTCACGATCGCGATGGTATTTCCGCGATCGCGATTCATTAATTCGCCCAGTGATTATAAAGTACTCTATTTTGGGGGTTTCGCCCATTTTAGCATGTTTGGTGCTATAGAGCTCGGATTGAAGCAATTTTTTAGGCGATTTTCAACATGTTGATTGGGATAAGTGTTCTCTACTCATTTTTGATTTTATATGATGAATCTATATTCGTTTTTGGCATTTGATCGAGGGATTCAAAAGAGAAAATTGAGGGGTTTTTGTCTAAAACTTCATAAAGCATATTTTCGAGTTTTGAACATTGATTTGGAGTTAGATTTGGATGAAACTAGTATGGTTGCACTCATAATTTAATGGATGAAACTACGCGGGCCCGGGGTTAGACTTTTGGGTTAATTTTGGGATTTTGATTGAAGATTCGACCTTTATCGATTGGTTTTATTTACTTTGTCATTAATTGATGTATTTGAGTTGCTTTTGGCTAGTTTCAACTCATTCAGAGGTCGGTACGCGCGGGATGGCACTTTGGAGCATCGCTTGGCTTGCTCGTATTGGATTTGGCTTGTACGAGGTAAGTAACACTTTTAAACTTGGAGCTGAGGGTATGAACCCTGATTATACGTGTTATGTGATCTCTTTGAAGGTGACGCACATGCTAGGTGACGGGCATGTGGGAGTGCACCGTAGTAATTGTGACTCAATCGATTCATAGAGTAGTGTAGTCAATTAACTTATATTTTTCCATGTTTTCCATGTGTTAGAGAAACTGAGCTGTGACTACTACTAGAAATCATGCTTAGGCATATGTTGGTATTATTAGGACCCACTAAGCTCATTTCTGTTGTTGAATTATATGTTTAAATTGAAATTCCGTACTCAGTCATATTTATTTATTTCATATCATATCTCAGTCTCTATTGCTATTTATTGATATATCATATCATCATTTTTTGGCTAATTTCATGATATTGTGAGCCCGAGAGGCTGGAGAGATTAATAACTGAGTGAGGCTGAGGGCCTGATTGTGAGTGATATTTATGGGATTAGGCTGCACGCTGCAGCATGTTTTATTGATTTATTCCTGGATCTGGCTTATTATAGCGTTCGGGTGGAAGGAGCCCCTCCGAAGTCTGTACACCCCCACTGAGAGCAATTAGCATTTATATTAAGGGATGGGTCTTCCCTGGGCATGGATCTTGCCCGAATCATTTTTGTTTGGGGATGGATTTTCCCTGGGCTGAATGGCCTTATACAGTACTGAGTGATTGACTGTCAGTTGATATATANTCCTAGATTGGCCATATATAGTACTAAGAGTGAGGTTTTATTTATGTTTAGTTAGGCTGGATCTACCATGTATAGTGTTGAGTATCGAGCGTGATGAGTGAGAGAGTGAGACTATGAGATTGAGTACTTTGAGAGTGTTAGTATATGAGTTTATCACTGAGATACATTATGTTTGGCATGTGTGTTTGAGATACAGGCATAGAGATGCATTTTCTCACACTACCTGGTTTTGTTAATATTCATGATTTTACCTACATAGTGACATGTAGGCATAGAGATGCACTTTCCTCATGCTATCTGGAAAAAAAATAAAACATCTTATTTATTGTTGAAAGCTTTTCGAAAAATCACAGTTTTACAAACTTACTCATATTTTGATGTTTTCGGTAAAAGATTTGGATTTTCACTAATATACTTGAAAAGCATGCCTATTTTCCGGAACTGTGAAAGAGCTGAGCATTTTATCTTTGAGTTACTTCTTTTAGCACTATTATTATGTTGTTATGAACTGTTGTTGGCTATTGGTGCTGGACTCCGACCTTTGTTCCAGCTCGTCACTACTTTTAACCTAAGGTTAGGTTTGTTACTTATTGAGTACATGGGGTCGGTTGTAATCATACTACACTCTT